TGGCGATGAGCTGCATTCCTTTAGAGGGGGAGATGCACTCTGATTTTTTGAATTTCCAGCTTTTCTGCACTATTTTTTCCCCATCTTTGTGGTTTTATCTGCCTTTGGTCTTTGATGATGGTGACATACTGATAGGGTTTTGGTGTGGGTGTCCTTTCTGTTTGTTAGTTTTCCTTCTAACAGTCAGGACCCACAGCTGCAGGTCTGTTGGAGTTTGCTTGAGGTCCACTCCAGCCCCTGTTTGCCTGGGTATCAGCAGCAGAGGCTGCAGAAGACAGAATATTGCTGATCAGCAAGTGTTGCTGTCTGATTCTTGCTCTGAAAGCTTCATCTCAGAGGTGTACCCAGCCGTGTGAGGTGTGAGGTGTGAGGTGTCAGTCTGCACCTCAGCTGAAAATGCAGAAATCACCCATCTTCTGTGTCACTCACACTGAGAGCTGGAGGCTGGAGCTATTCCTATTCGGCCATCCAATAATGCTTTATTTCTTTGTTCTTCTGAGAGATAATTCCTAATGTTGTTTTTCCAACTAGAAGTCTGAAGAGTATTGTGTTCAGTGTGTACTTTAAGAGTGATATGAATCTGCAGGAGTCAGGACACACTATTAGAAAGGTAGAAGAGAAGTAAGTGAGCAAGAGAGGGAAATGGAACAAGATGCATGTGGGAATATTGCTGTAGGACCTTTCCTTATTTCAGCTAAAAATGGGATTCTTTGTCCCACAGCCATGAAAATTCAGGCTCACAGATACTTTAAAGAGTGTATGAAGCAGAGTTTTATTGGGTGAAAAATGGGAAAAAGGGGGGAAACAGTTACTTTGGCAAGGCCAGAGTCCTTCCGCTGGAGTGCTTCCCACCTGGCCGTTTGGATCCCAGGTTCCACACATAAAAAAGAGGGGCCAGACTCAGGCTTCTCCCTGCTGCGAACCTTGTGAACTTCCCAAGGCTCCACCTCAGTGGGCAGGCTAGTTGGAGTTTCTCCAGGGACCCCTTCATGCCTGGCTGTCTCAGTATTAGCAGGAGGAACCAGAGATATAAAAAAGAAGAAGAGAAAGCAGGGACATTTAGAAGATGATTAAGAGAGGCAAATGGGAGATTTGGGGGAAATTTTAAGGGTTGAGTTACACATTACCCTAGTAACAACGAAAAAGAATTATGGAAGTCTTAGTATTCTGAACCTGTAAGACAATTTTGCATTAGTGTAGAACCAGAAAGAATAAAGGCTGATATTTTTATATGAGCCAAAATATCCGAACAATATTTACTGCTTAAGATCATCCAATCTTACCCATCTTTTCCACTGTCTAGAACTGAAGCTGAAGCTCCCTGTTATTCTTGTAGATGTATATTAAATGAACGAAAGTTGGCAGGGACTTTTAAAGTATTACAATTTATATTCAGTAAAATTCACTCTTTTGGTGTAGATTTCTACAGTAAACATATATATTCATGTAACTGCCGTAAAAGTCAAGATATAGAACCATACCCGCCCACTCCAAATTCCCTCATGTCCCTTTGTAGAATGTCTCTTCCTCTGCCCCTAGCCCTTGGCAACCACTGATCTCTTTTCTGTTCTTACACTTTTGCTTTTCCAGAATGTCACATCAATGAAATCCTGCAGCTGGCAACTGTAGAATCTGACTTCATTCACTTAACAATAATACATTTTCAAGTCATCTGTATTATAGTATGTATCATTTGTCAAAGAAAAACAAGATAGGGAGAAACTTTATTCAAAAGGACTGTTGCAATAGGAATAACACTGATTTCAAAAATATGTTAGTGGGCTGGCGCCGTGGCTCACGCCTGTAATCCCAGCAATTTGGGAGGCCGAGGTGGGTGGATCACGAGGTCAGGAGATTGAGACCATTCTGGCTAACATGGTGAAACCCCGTCTCTACTAAACAAAATACAAAAAATTAGCCGGGCATGGTGGTGGGCATCTGTGGTCCCAGGTACTCAGGAGGCTGAGGCAGGAGAATGGCGTGAACCCGGGAGGTGGAAGCTTGCAGTGAACTGAGATCATGTCTCTGCACTCCAGCATGGGCTACAGAGGCTCTGTCTCAAACAAAACAAAGCGAAACCAAAAAAACCCCCCAAAAAAACCAAAAAACAGCAACAACAACAAAAAACTTAGTGGTGTAGGAGAGAGCAAGGGGCAAAGTGGAGGCGTTTCAACAGGAAATGGTGCAATGTGGGCAGGTTAAGGCAGGATGTTTTTTGCAAGTCTGTGCTTTGGGGCCTTTAGGAAAACTTGCAGGCAAACACATGTAGGGCTTGTGAGGAGGAGAAAAACCAGACAAAAGTTTGGCCAGCTAACACACAGTAAGAAATTGACAATTGTGAATGTATGATCAAGTTTTTTCTTTTATTAGGGATGAGGAATAGTGGTTCACCTCTTCAGCAGCTGAAGCATATTGGAGCTGTTGCTAGTTTTTTGTGATAATGAATAAAACTGGTGTAAAATATTCCTTTCAGGTTTTTGAGTAAACACAAGTTTTCACTTCCCTTGTTTAAATACCTAGGGATAGGATGGCTAGGGCATGTGGGGAATTTACATTTACCATAACAAACTGCTTAACCGTTTTCCAAAATGCCCATGATATTTTGCATTTCCAGTGATGCTGCATGAAAATTCCAGTTGCATCCTGTCCATTCTCGCACTGCTATAAAGAAAGTGCCTGAGACTGAGTAATTTGTAAGAAAGGAGGTTTAATTGGCTCACCATTCCACAGGCTGGCCAGGAAGCATGATTCTGGCATCTGCTTAGCTTCTGGGGATGCCTCAGGAAACTTACACTTCATGGCAGAAGGCAAAGGGGGAGTCCATACTTCGCTTGGTCTGAGCAGGAGGAAGAGAGGAAGTGAGAGAGGGCACCACACAGTTTTCAACAACCAGATCTCACGAGGACTCACTCATCGCGACACAGTACCAAGGGGGAAATCTGCCCCTATGACCCAATCACCTCCCACCACACCCCACCTGCAACACTGGAGATTACAATTCAACATAAGATTTGGGTGGGGACACAGATGCAAACCATATCACATCCCTTCCTCACCAGCAGTTGGTTGTTCCTTTTTTTCTTTTGTTTTCTTTGCCACTCTAATAACCATGTAGTAGTCACTCATTGTGGTTTTAATTTGTATCTCTCAAATGGCTGGTTATTTCAAGCATGTTTTTATGCACTTATTTGCTATTCATATACCCTCTTTAATCAAGTATATCTCCAAATCGTTGACCCACTTTTTAATCTAGTTTTCATTTTCTTATTGTTGAGTTTTGAGTTCTTAATATATTCTAGATACAAGTTGCTTTTTAGAAAGCTGTTTTTCTGCCTTTGCTTGTCTTTTTATTCCCTTTTCAGGGTTTTTTTTTTTTTTTCTAGCAGACAATTTTAATTACGTTAAAGTTCAATTTATCAAGTTTTAAAATATTGATAATGCTTTTGGTGTTGTATCTAAGAAATTTTTGCCTGATTCAAGCTCACAAAAATTTTATTTTCCTCTTTCCTTCTAATAGTTTTAGTGTTTGAGGCTTCATATATGAGTCTAAGATTTATTCTGAGCTCATTTTCTTATAAGGTATTAGGTGTGAGTTGAGTTTCACTATTTTGCATTAAGACACTCAATTTTTCCAGCACTATGAGTTCAGAAAATATTACCCCTTACCTGCCTGATTACTTTCCACTTCTGTCAAATGTCAATTGACCATACATGTTTAGATTTGTTTCTGAAATTTTTTTCTGTTCCATTGATTTATATGTTTGTTCTTTTATCAAGATCATACTGTCTTTGTTTCTGTTACTTTGTAAATTATGAAAGCAGGTTCCCTGATTTCCAAATTTGGCCATTTTTTTTTCCTTCAAAATTGTTCAGCTGTTCTAGTTCTTTGATTTTTCTTATAATTTTAAAATTACCCGGCTTATTTCTACAAAAAATTCATACTGCAGTGTTTATCAGGATTGCACTGAATCTCTAAACCTGTTTGGGTATAATTGACATCCAGCAATATTGCATATTCCAGTCTATGAATATCTTATATCTCTCTGTTGATTCAAGTCTTTGATTTCTTTGTCACTTTGGTTTCCAGCTTCCATCATACTGATCCTAAACATATTTTGATAGATTTATTTGATATCTTTTGTGTTATTATAAATGGCAGTTTTTATATTTAAATTTCCACTTCATAATTATGAATATATGGAAATATAAGTGTTTTTTATATATGAACATAGCTAATCCTGTAGCTTTGCCAAATTCATTTATTCTCATAGCCATTTGGTAGATTCCTTAGAATTTTACATGCAGACAACTATGTTGTCTGCGAATAGCAATGCCTTTATTTCTTTCCAATCTGCATGACATTTATTTCTTTTTTCTTGCCTTTTTGCCCCTAATGGGACATCCAATAAAATGTTAAATTGGATTGGTGAGAGAGATCAGACATCCTTGCCTTGTTCCATGTCACTGGGGGAAAGCATTTATTCTTTCATCCTTAAGTTTGGTGCTAGCTGTAGTTTTTCTGTAGATGCCCTTTATCAGGTTGAAGAAGGTTCTTCAATTTCTGATTTGTTGAGTCTTACTATCGTGGATGAATATTAAGTTTTTCACATCCTCTTGCAGCATTTATTCAGATGCTCGTATGTTGTCCCTTGTCTCATTCTGTCAATATGGTGAATTACATTGATTTATTTTCTGCTTCCCCTGTTGCTTCTAACCAGCTGCTTTACTATGGGGCTATATCTGGATTGTGTATGTTTCTTTTTCATCACAATTTCTACTCTTTTTCCAATAACTGGAAGATTCCCTGGGCATGGGGGGAATTCAGTTTTTAGCTCTAGCCCTCTTTGGGCCATTATTCTAATTTATGAACCAAGCCCTTTTGTGAAAGGAGTTGGCAGTAGGAGAATTGAAGTACATCTGATCTTAGTGTTGATTCTATGATGCAATTTTTCTCCCTAGGATATTCCTGAGATTGAGATTCTGATATTTGTATTTTACAGATAAAACTCTGCAAAGAAAATGTCTAGCACTTATGTCTGCAGTAACTCCTGCCAAGGTTTACTGTTGCTTGTTCATCATTGCAGTCCTCACTACAAGTGTGATTGTACTTTCTATTGTTTTGTCAGGTAAGTTACTTGTTCTCCAAACTGTACAATATTCTTCATATGTTTTTGTTGTCAATAAATATTTATTAAGCTCCATTATGTGCTTGTCACTGTGTGAAATGCTTGAATTACATCAACAAACAAAACACACACAAAAGAATTCCTACTCTTCAGAACTTATATTCCAGCAGAAAAACACAAGTAAAAATAAATAAGGGTGGAGGTACAATGGGTTGCAATAGACTGACAAAACCAAGCTTTCTTGGGAAGATGACATTTCAGCAACCTTTTGAAAGAGGTGGAGGAACCTATTCCAGACAGAGAACAAGTAGACCAAAAGCCTGAAGGGGGACTCTTCCTGGCTTATTTGAGGAAGAGCAAGGAGGCTGCTGTAGGTAAAGCAGAGTGAAGATGGAGAAGAAGAGTGGTACCATGGGGCATCAGGAACAGAGGAACCTTGAGAGTCCGTTAAAGACTTTGGCTTTTACCTTCAGTGCAATAGGGAGACTAGATGAGGGGAGTTGTATGAGAGGAATGTCATGATGTGACTTTCATTGTAGAATAATCATTTGATTGCTATATTGAGACTAGGTAGGGGAGGGTGGTCAGATTCTGGATATTTTGAAAGCTGAGCCAACAGTATTTTATATCAAATTGGATAAAAAAGTCTTAGAAAGAGAAATGTCTAAGCTAAGCCTGTCTTTTCTTTTGAGCCTTGGCAAGAATGCATTTGCCATCCATTGATATGAGAAAGGTATAGGAATTTCACTTACGGAACTATTTCCTGACAAGTTCCTCTCAGAATTGTCATTTTTATTAAAAATAAAGTAAGATCTCTACTTGAAATGTTTTCAGGCAAATCATCTGGCCTTAAGAGCTGGTATCTTCTACTAAAGCAGATTGAGAATGCACGAAAGTACAGAGAACTGTATACATAAAATCATCTCGGGTATACAGAGGTAATAGGTCCTCAGCATTGCTTTGTCAAGAGGAAGAAGGGCTAATATGAGGGAGAATATGGAAAAATCATCTGTATGACCTGTGAAAGTACAGTACTATGGAAGTCGATGCTACAGAAATTGATTTCCTTGAAACCGTTAGGGTCAGTGTAAATTTCAGAAAGTCAAGAGTGCAGATATCCAGCTGGAAACCACTGGACTGATGATTGCTGTGCTTAGGATAAGGCACTTTGTGATGAGTTAGGAAAACAGCAATCAGATATGTACACCTCAAAACTGACCTCAGGAAAGTAAGCAGAAACAATAGATAAAAGGGGTGAAAACATTTATTTATTATGTTTCATTGTGATTGTCTCACTTTTAGCAAGAAAGGAAAAGCGAGTGGTAGAGTCACCTAAATACGCTGCTTGGCCAAAAAGCTGGGTTAGATTTAGGAGTAAATGTTTTTATTTTTCTGAAGACATAAGAAATTGGATATTGAATCAAACATTCTGTGTCTCATTAGAAGCCAGCCTTGCTCAGTTTGCAACTATGGAGGAACTGGTAAGACATATTTTTGGATCATGTTTTCTGTCAAATACTTAGCCCCCTGAGGCAGGTCGGCTACATAGGGTTAAAGCTAATATACTAGGAAGAATCCCATTCCAGGGGCATGAGATGTGTTTTTATGTCTAACATTCGTTGAGGGTGTGTTCTCTGCCTGGAACCCTGTGAGACATTTTAGATGTATTTCCTCATGTAATTCTCACGGTGAACCTCTAAGATGAGATGTATTGTTCTCATTCTATTAAGATGTAAGGTAATTATATAATTTGTCATCTAGATTAAGATATATAGGGTATTAAAAGTGATCATTAATACATTGGTGGAATGACAAGCATAAACTGGGAATTTCCCAATGAAACTGGGATATATGCTCACTTTAAATAAAGTAATTTAGGATCAGAGACATTAAATGACTTAAACTGAGAATTGGGAATTAGTCTCACTCCAGAGTTTATGCTGCTTAATTACACCATGCTGCCAGTCAAAAAGAGAAGGGATAGGGAAGAGAGACTCCAGAGTAACATGAAAGAAAGGGATGCACAGTGTTACTTTCTGTTTTATTATAGAATTTCCTGAAAAGATACAAAGCCCTTCCAACCATTGGATTGGCCTTAGAAGAGAATCATCCCATCACATTTGGAGATGGATGGACAACACGGAATATAATAACACGCATGTTTTGAGACTTCTCATCTTTCTGCTGTGTCTATATATGGTTATGTGTGTGAGTTGTGTTTATGAGATAAGAAATGTAGTATGATGGAAAACTTACTGCAATATGAGGTAAGAAGTCTAAACTCTTTTTATGCTCTTCCATTTATTAGCTGTGTCTTTGGGAAAGCTTTACCTAACTTTGATTTCAGTTGAAATCTTTAACATGACAGTGACATTTGACACAATTTCACGCTTTCATCCACTGATTTAAAACTGCTGAAATCCCTGCTTACAGCTGATGTACAACAAAGGTTCTACAATCATAGGAAGCCACTGAGGAGCTGATATCCACAAGGCTGTTAAGCCCACTCTTCCAGCTGTTGCATCCATTTACAATAGGAAAGCATCCAGGGAACTCATGGGAATCTGTCTCTCCTAAAATCTTATCACCAGAAGGAAACTAGTAACAGTTCCTTGGACTGTGAACATTTCAAAGGGGTATTTTGAATATAATCATTACATTACAGCAGATAAAATGTAGGAACCCAGTCATATCCATTAATCAACGCTAAGCCCTTTCAGGAATTTACTAGTGTTTTTTTTGTTTGTTTGTTTTGTTTGTTTGTTTGTTTGTTTGTTTTTTTAATTTTCACACATTTATAAAACAATTTGGGAGGAGACTGGAAATCATCTTGATGGAAGACCACCAATGGCAGCAGTTCATTTGGGTGCAGCAGCAAGCATCAGTTAAATACCTATCAACATATCTGGGCTTGGTGTGGATAAATGATAAGCTTGCGATTTTCAAGCAAGGACCTTGAGGACATAAAGGACGCTAAATACAGAAATGGTTTATATTACTATGAAGCAATATTAATGACAGACTTTTGCTTTTCTCTTATCCACATTAAAATATGGAGGGGGTACAGAAGATGATAGGCGAGGAACAAATGCAGGTGTCTCACTTATAAATATGTAATATTTTTGTGTTTGGATTTAGGCTTGCTATCAGAGGAGGTGGAGAATGTGCCTTCCTGAATGACAATGGAGTCAGAATCTTTATAGACAGAAAACGGATTTGTAGCAAGCCAAACAGTTATGTCTGCAGTTGCCAGTTATGTCCCCACTGGGATCCTGCCTAGTAGAGCGTTGAGAAGAGGGCCACCATCCTCCAGAATCCAGAATGGTAGATTCATCAGCAGCTTCCACCATGCCCCTAGAAAAACTGCAAGGAACAGACCTGCACATGTATCCCCTAAATCTAAAATAAAAGTTGGAAAAAATGCAACTTTGATGTTAAGATGCACTGATACAAAATTTAAATTTTGGTCTCCTACATTAAAACAATATGAGTCTCTTAAAATATTGATTTGTTCTTAGTAAGATTACAAGAGGCTTTGATTTTTAATTCTGCAATGTTTCCTTAACAGCCATTCTCTGAATTACAGACCAATTCCTATTTCTGCCACATTCCTTCCTCAGAACTGTCCAGTCCTGGTTTGGGGTTTATCTTAAAGGTCTAGAAAGGCAACATTTTACTTCAGCGTAACTTGATTCTGTATTGTTGTTTTTTCTTAATGTGTCAAAATTGTTTTGTTACCAGGACTTCCTATGTTGTTACTAAACAAGTAACAACATATAATTTGATAAATGCAATAATTTGATAAATAATCCTTTGTGAACAAATATGGAAGCATTTACTTTTTCTCTCTACTTGATTCCTGCAAGTAGGAATATTCCCCTGATCAAGGCAACTGGCCTAGAAAACAAAGATTCTGTGTTTTACCAAGATAATTCCCAGTGCTTCATAGTGTCTTTATTAAACTTTGACTGCTTAGGGAAACTGAGCTTTAAAAGGGTTAAGGTTTTTACATCCATGTAACTTTCTGAGGTCTTTAGGTTGTCACTCTGATTAAATGAGTAGTATTCTTGGCAGTGACTTATGATCTGTTGAAGGAAGTATTTTAAGCTTTTTGACATCCTTGGCAGGTTTCTCTAGAATCCAAATCCTAAATTAAGCCTTTTGGCCTAACATTGACTGGGATTTTTCCAGGTGGGCCCCCTAGATATGCCCCCTCAAAAGGCATATCTTTCTTGTAGAGATATTAAATGATTAGGCTTCTTTGGTAAATACTACTGGAAGCATTGTCAAATAAGAAATGATAAGAAATGGTGTTTTACCTTTCTTTAAGCTATGTTTGTGTAAGTTCATCATTTATAGAAATGTGAAATTTTATGAGATTCCTAAAATACTGACATGCTGAGATACCTGTAATAATTGCAATTTTTTTGTGTTGGATGATTGTATGCCACAGAAATACTTAAATTTCCTTGTTAATTGATAACTTTAATCAGATCTTTACCTATGGCTGTTCTGGGTTTTTGTCATTCACAGTTATTATTTTAATTTCTTCTTTGGAAGCATTCGCAATCAGCTATAGTCCAAAACTGCTAATTAAGATCAAGCAAAACAAAATTAATTACATAAAATTAAGTCATAAAGATGTTTTTATGACTTCAATGTTTTATTTTCCAGAGCAAAGGAAATTTTCTGTCACAAGCTATCAATCATTTGCAATAATTTGATAAAGAATCCTTTGTGAACAAATATGGAAGCATTTACTTTTTCTCTCTACTTGATTCCTCCAAAATTCAGAAACTATTTGTGAATATTTTTATCTTGAGTTATGCAAGTTCAGTAAAAATCCACTCTGTCTTTATAAGCAGGATCCAATGGGGAATATTGGTTATATTGCTAAGGTTTGGCTTGAAATGTCATATTTAAGAATATGCATAGAGGCCAGGGGTGGTGGTTTACACCTGTAATCCCAGCATGTTGGCAGGCTGAGGTGGGTGGATCACTTGAGACTAGGAGTTTGAGATCAGCCTGGTCAAAATGGTGAAACCTCATCTCTACTAAAAACACAAAAATTACCCAGGCATTGTGGCACACACCGGTAGTCCCAGCTACTCGAGAGGCTGAGGCACAAGAATCCAGGAAGTGGGGGTTGCAGTGAGTAGAAATCCCACCACTGCACTCCAGCCTGGGTGACAGAGTGAGACTGTGTCTCAGGAAAAAAAAAAAAAAAGAAAAGTGCGTAAAATGCCTTGCTTCCTGAGTTCCCAGCTTCACAGGGAATGAGTAAAAATTGTCACTTTCTGGCAGGTTCAAAAACCTTGATTATAAGCAAAATCCAAAGGCTACTTTGGTTTTGTTTCCTAGCCTCAAGAGGTTCTAAAATCTAAAATCTCCTACATCATCAACAGGAGAGAAATGTTATGCTTCTAAGGAAAGCAAAGTTGCAACTGTTTTTAGATTTTAACCCTGTACATTGTCTTCAAGTCCTTGTTGTCTGCCTGTAGACTGAACTAGATCCTGGATTCTCCTAAGTTCCTCCAATATTAGATTATAACAGTCCTGATGGAGTCCCCCAACGCTCTTGTCTCGATCCTGACTAGGGATGCTCCAGGGTCATTCAGGTGACTCCCCCTTCTTAAAAATCTGACCAACTAGGGACATTAGATACCAGAATTGGGAACAAAGTAGATCCATGAGATACTATGGTCAGTAATGAGATCTTATTGGTCAGTGAATCTTTTTTTTTTTTTTTTTTTTCAGATGGAGTCTCACTCTGTCTCACCCAGGGTGGAGAGCAGTGGCATGATCTCAGCTCACTACAACCTCCCATCTCCCGAGTTCAAGTGATTCTCCTGCCTCAGCCCCCCAATTAGCTGGGGTTAAAGGCATGTGCCACCACACCTGACTAATTTTTATATTTTTAGTAGAGACTGGATTTTGCCATGTGGGCCAGGCTGGCCTCTGGCCTGGAACTCCTGACTTCAGGTGATCCACCTGCCTTGGCCTCCCAAAGTGTTGAGATTACAGGCATGAGCCACTGCACCTGGCCTGCTCAGTGACTTCTAATGCTTGCTGCTGTACCTGGATAAATACTTCCAGTCATATTTAAATGGGCTTAAAGTTGGCAAAATCTCTGAAAGAGATATCTTCAGAAAGTCTCCTAACGGAACTTAGTGGATAAAGTTTCCGATGTCCAGATATATTCAGCTGGTTTCCCCCTGGTATAGGATTTCTTCTGCGTTCTACCCTACACGTCTTATGATACCCCTCATATTTTGGCTAAGCATTTGACTCCTCTTTAAAATTGTTCTAACTGGTTTTTAACAGATGTCTACAAGAGATCCCCACCAGGATCCTGCCCACGCAATCCTTGAGACTTTAAACTCACTCCCCCTGGAAATGGGAACCAACTTAACCCAAGAGACTTTGGTTCAAATGTAACCAGTACTTTCCTGAATGCCCCTCCTAAGTAAATGGCTCTAGCTGCCCTATTGGCCACTGCAGTGCCACTAGGATTCCTACAAGCGATCAGATGGGCCCAGAGCAGGTAGCCAACCACTTCTTTGTTGGATGGAATGCAATGCTGTTTGCCAGCGGGTTTGAGCCAGTCCTTCAAGACGGATTCTGAGTGACTAACTGGACCTAAATTTAAATAGCACCCATTTGCTAACTAGATTTCATACAAATGCTCTGAGTTCCTGGAAAACCCACACTCCTTAACTTTGGGACTTTCGAGACTCACCTAAATCAATCAATCAAAGCTCACCTGTGTCAGCTAATCAGGGATCAGCTGTATTGACTAATAAAAACTAAGGGAGTTTCAAATTTTAACCATTCATTTGTGAAGAAGACATGATTGGGAGCCTGGATATGAACATTTGCATAAAATCTGAGCATTCTCTTTGTTCTCTGGAGCAAATAATGTTAAGTTGTTAACTCTCTATACCTTTCTTTAGAACTGGATGGAAACAACTCCACCTGAAATGCAGCCCTGATACCAGGGAACTCCTATAGCAAAACACTAAACAACTTTATTACTCTAACCAATGTTTATGTCCCTAATCAGCAAGAAGTAGTTAGAATGGTCATCATCCCTTTCCCTCAAGATTATGGAATGGACATAAAAAAGAAGGGGGTTTGTAACTGCACCGGACTAATCTGTTGTCAGAAAGGTGCTCCTGAGCCAGACCCCGAAAGACGGTTCTTGGATCTCCTGCAGGAAGGAATTCAAGGAAAGTCACAGAGTGTGGAGAGAATAGACAGTTGATCGAAAGCTACTAAGTTACAGCGTAGGGCATCCTCCAAAAGCAAGAGGAGGAATGTGCTGTCTTTGTTTTAAACTCTTCTTTTATAGGGGTTTTATCTATGTTAAAGCTAAGCTATGTCTACATGTGGATAGGCTGTCAGTATGACAAAATTTAGTACTTTGTTGATATAAAGAAACTTACCCTTGTCATCTTAGTGCATAAGTACATCAAAGTATGACTCTAGCTATCTTAAAAGCATGTATCGTTATGTGATATTGGGACATCTGGACATTCTGTTGTCATAGGAGTTTGTCCTTGCAGCATTACTAAATCACTTCCTTAGCTGTAAACATCTTATAACCGTAGGTCATGACTGGCAAGGAACATGCCTTGCTAGTTTTTTGATGGAGCTGATTTTAAAATAGTGTCACTCTGGCTTTCCTATGTTCCTGCTTTCCTAACAAATCTGGTTCAACTTTTTTTTTTTTTTTTGATTCAATATAATGTTTTTTTCCCATGCTACCTCATTTACAGCCTATAGATATGGTTGGTCTATGTGTTTCCTTGTTCAGCTATGATTCTTACTTTTTTCAATCACACATGCTTTACGGGGGCTTCCACTACCATGAGCCATATTTTCTATGTTACCAGCAACATGTTTGGGTTTGTTTTTTGTTTTGTTTTTATTTCAAATTTTACTTTAGATTTAGGAAGTACTTGTGCAGGTTTGTTAACAGGGGTATATTGCATGACCCTGAGCTTACAATACCAACGAGCCCATCACTCAGGTAGTGAGCATAATATCCAATAGGTAGTTTTTCAGAACTTGCCTTATCTTCCCTCTCTCCCTGCTCTAGTAATTCCAAGCCTATTTTTCCCATTTTTATGTCCACGTGTTCCCAGCATTTAGCTCCCACTTATAGGTGAGAATATGTGGCATTTGCTTTTCTGTGCCTGCATTAATTTACTTAGGATGATGGCTTCCAGCTGCATCTTTTGTTGCAAAGGACATGACTTTGTTCTTTTTTATGGCTGTGTAGTATTCCATGGTGTATATGTACCACATTTTCTTTTTTTTTTTTTTTTTTTTTTTTTTTGAGACGGAGTCTCGCTCTGTCACCCAGGCTGGAGTGCAGTGGCCTGATCTCAGCTCACTGCAAGCTCCGCCTCCCGGGTTCACGCCATTCTCCTGCCTCAGCCTCCCGAGTAGCTGGGACTACAGGCGCCCGCCACCTCGCCCGGCTAGTTTTTTGTAGTTTTAGTAGAGACGGGGTTTCACTGTGTTCACCAGGATGGTCTCGATCTCCTGACCTCGTGATCCACCCGTCTCGGCCTCCCAAAGTGCTGGGATTACAGGCTTGAGCCACCGCGCCTGGCCACCACATTTTCTTTATCCAATTCACTGTTGATAGGCATCTACATTGATTCCACGTCTTGGCTATTGTGAATAGTGCAGCAATAAACGTGCATGGTTCAACTTTTATGGTAACAAAGTTGTGAGTTGTTCTTCAGTCATCATGGACCCTCAGGTCATGTAACCTGAGCATGGGCAGGTGAAACAAGTATGCAACCACAGGGAAACCTAATCTTTCAGACTGAGGTACAGGCACCGAATGAAGAAGTGGACACAGGATGGCAAGATCCAGGATCCAACTGGATAGAACCCTGGCATCACTTCATGGCAGGATGCAGTCAGATCATGCCTCCCAGCATCACCTCATTGCAAGATCCAATCAGATTATTCCTCACTACCCTGTGCTTATAAAACCTGACCCAACTACCAGTTGGGGCAGGCACTGCTTTGGGAGCTTTGTCCAGTGTTCTCTTGACTTTCTGTAAGTAATAAAATCTCCTTGCTAAATCCTCCCTGGCTGTGGTCATTGGGTTGATAACTGACAAGTGACTGAACCCACCTGCTGTGTGGGTAACATTTAGAACATATTTTCCATGTCTTTATTTTCCTTGACTCTCTGCATTAGTGTCTGTGCACCAGATAAAACAGCTTCCTCTCCAGTCTTCACAGGCAGGTCTCATACAGGAGAACACCTTTGCCAATCAGTCCAGACAGAGGTTCTGGGTGCCACTGAAACCTTCATGGTAGTTGAAACCACAATGTTTGTTCTTAATGGTCCTCAGGCATCTAGAGTACGCCAGGTCCTTTCAGTGCTCTCAGTTACGTGAGATAAAATCCAGTTCCTCGGGTAGCAGCCAGAATAACTGGGGTGCTAGTTATTTGGTCTGTGTCCTTTGCTTTCCAGAGAGAAGCTGGAAGCTGGGCTTGATCACTCTGCACTGAGCCAAAGTGGGGAGCAGGGGGAAGTACCCACATGCTTATTAAAAACTGCTCTGAAAATATTTGAAGTACCAGGGCTGTAACAATTATTATTTTAAAAACAACTGCTGTTTTGTTTTGTGTAGCCCCAGAGGTTTAGCAGATGCTGGGCCCTGTCAGCTCAGCAAAACAGGGAAATTAGAAACCAGTCCCTCTGGTAGTCTCT